GCAGCGATGCTGCGTTCCAATAAAAGGAAAGGATAAGAGAAACCACCATCGATATGTCACGCCTCACGTTTCCTCACGCATTTCCGTCCCCATTGGTAAAGTCTTCTGAAGCGCAGAGTAAACACTCTCAAAATTTGTCACGAAGAATCCATGATCCACATGCCTTTCGAAAATGGGCTCACACTCAGGTCATCAGGGCTAACACTAACACAACTTCCTTTCCAGGTCTCTTCAGAAGTAACCTTCCACGGTGTGGGCAGCCAGGAAGTGAAATACACCCTCATAGCCCTAACAACACACGAGATCAACTTGCTCACAATCAAATCCTTCCCCCAATTCTCTCTAACTCTCTTGTCTCCTCGTCTATTCCTCCTCGTGTAACTTTAACAATCCGCGTGGCTAATGCTAACGAATCGAGTACACGATTCGCTATTTCCTAGTCTCCCGAAAGCCCGCTCTGAACTGCTTCTAACGTTCGGACGTTATCCCAGGTTTCCTGGGATAGGAACTGTACAATCTCGTGCCACCGACATATGCTGTGTCTCCGGAAAGCTCATACAGAATCCGAGTACAGTGATCGATTTAACCTCACGATGTCAAAATAAACCATCGTATCGATTCACGCTTCGTCCATTTGAAAGCATCAGTGCTGCTATCCATGGCCTCACTGGTGTGGGTATAGCACCGTTTCGTAAGGCAGAACTAGCTCTCACTTGTGAGCTGTCCGACTAGACGGGACTGTAAGAACTCGGAAAGATAGGGACACGCGCTGTTGCCCCTTAGTTGTCCCTGCCTGCAGCTCAGATGAGGTAAAAGATGAGTTTCATAAGAAGCTTTCGCACCAGCAAAACGTTAGCTGCTCTGTTGTAGTAATAGTGGCGGGTGACGTTAATGCTCAATCAGGTAGACTAATCGAAAACGAAAGACATCTGGGCGGGTCCTATGGATCTTACTGACGAATTCGGTCTTGACTTAGGTAGACCGCTCAGGAACTCTTCTGGGTGCCAACTATATTTGTAATTACTTTCTGAAAATGTGGCTATATCAAACCGTCTTTGTCAGTGACATGGCTTAAACTTGATAACGGAAACATACTCTTATAATTAATCCAAGTGTGCAACCTTTTACAGTAAATGTGGTAGAAGTTGTAACAATTTGATCTAGCCTGTAAACGGTCATGCCTCACATAAAACAATGCTATTCGAGAATAAATATATCATTATTTATTTTACAAAAAATGCAGAATGTTCGGCGTGGTTTGATTAGTTCAAGTCAGGTCGACGGTTGTCTATTTTTACGGAGATGCAGTTGTTATATGTAGTACATTCTGATTTTATCGATCGAATAGCAATCTGTTTTGGCAAATGCCATATACAGAATCTCGAAACGACGGAAATAATTAGCTTCATAGGTTCGCATAACATCAGAATGTATGGGCAATGACAGTCTGTGGAACCAAAAAAGAATAATGATGAAGGTAGTTATACAATGATGAATGTATATGTAACACAAAATGTATGTGCCACTGTGAATGTTTCACGCGTCAGTAACTATAGGTTTATTATTTAAGTCCTAAGTACGATTCTCTATCAGTAGTCGATCAAATCAGACAAGAAAATGTACTGATCGATAAAACTAGATCATGAAGAAATGAAGATTATCGAAGAGTCTGATTTCCTTCTCACAACCGCAATTAGTAAAGTTCAGGGAGTATAGAATGAAGATTTTCACTAATAACATAAATAATCAATAGAAGTCGAAGTATTACAATATTAAAAAATGATTCACACTATCCAGGTGACGATTTTTTGGGCAAAAAAAACATCAAGCACATCCACGACTGGAAAGAATATACTAAGTTGAAAATACCGTGACAAATGAGTTCGGTTTGATAAAGCAGGCAGAAACTCAAACTACCCCGAACTTCTGTGAGCCTTTGCCAGTTTACATGCTACTTGATTAAAAACATTAATATTCATCATTTACTAGAATTAAAGTGTTTTAATTTCCCAAATACTTGCAGCTTTAGTTGTAGGGTTTTAGATAAATACTGTTCGTTGTTTATTGTTCGGTCAACGGCTTATCCCAACCGTCCCGAAATAACCTGTCAGCAATTCAGCTGTGTTTTTAGGGTAGCCTATCTTTCTGTTCATAAATCGTTACAATACAGAGGTATGTGCGTAATCAGTGGTATTGATGTTAATATCCTATGACAATCACCTCCCTAAATTATGTCTATAAGCTTAAACTGTTTCATTTCCGACTGAGAAATTCTATTACGAGTTAAACTGGACGATTACACAAAACAGAGGCTCACTTACGGATTCGTGAAAATGCTAATCGTAAAATCGTACAACGACCATTGCAAAAACACAATATATCATCTCTGCTTCAAAACGTTATCGTTTCTCCTATATCTTATAGATATGCTCAATCCTAAACGTCTTCGGTGTTTGGAAACCCCAAATCATAGAATAACCGGTCTTTTCGCTTGCATACTATGGGCTTGTTTCTGTTTGCCAATATAAACATTACCGGATGGAAATTAATAAAAAAACGTAAGTTCAGGTAGTTATAACACAGCTTTTACCACAAACAAAACTTCAGTATTCGCAAAGATTTCTTCTTCTGACTTTCGCCCCATTTTCTTCCTTTTACTTCTTCAGCGCCACCGTGACAAAATACATATAACACATACACTAAATATGTGAAATGTATCACTTTGTCTCACGCTTCATTTACTACTTCCAACATTTAAGAAAGATTTTAGGTTGTTTTTGACAGTAACATTTCAAATTTCTTACATGAAGAACGCCACTGAGAAAAAGAATATGCATTTATTGTAAAACGTCCTGGTAGAAACGGCTCGGCTTAACTTGAGTTAATTGTCGATCGCTAGTCATTCTTTGCGATGTGGCGTCAATAAATCTCGTCACACTTTGGATTCAAGGTTAGAGCTTTACTGATATCATTCGAAACCTCATATGACAAAATTTATAATAAGCGTTTACAACTAATGTATCTTCTTTTCTATCCGAGAAACTTAATACTTTAAATCTGGTATCATTTGTAAAGTATTTTTAGTGTCTGTCAACTGGTCTGACCCGTGTAGTACAACGTTATTTGACAATAAATATTACTAAAAGTCTTTTGTAATGAGACGCAAATCCGTACATACACTGTAGGAGAGTGGTAGTAAGTGGGTGGTAATATGAAAAATGTTAAGCCGAATATATTTGATCAATGCTCTCTCCACAGTAGTCAGTCACTTTTGCAAGCAACAAACTAGTAAGAAGACTTGTAAAACGGCGAGTGATTGAAGAGTCAATAATAACTTATGATTACCTGACGACCTACGGACACAATGTCGTCTGAAAGTCACACAAATATCGCCGATCAGACAGTTTCAAAGTGAACAGTTGATATCCAACACAGAAAAATACCCTAACAATTAGGAAGCTCAATAACTATCCTTATAGTTATAGACCATAATGAGCCGATCACAGTCCAGAAACTTTAGAGAGTAAAACAGTGGCAATCGTTAGCAAGTCCAAGAAAAAACGAATATATGCGAACCGAGAATTGAAAAGAAGGAACGTTACATACGAATGAAAAACTAGCGTATAGTTATAATGGAAAATATGATTAAATAGGTTTTCTGACATATTATTACAATGACATATCAGAACAGATGCTTCAGTTGTTTACATCAGGTTAATAAAAAATTCTTTCAGGTGTTGCTAGCCTAAATTAAGTCCTACTGATAACTATTTCTATTTTTCTATCACTTAGTTGAGATAAAAATATAATAGAGAACGTACACCAACAGTTTGTGTAAATTGTCTCTGTCAGTCATTTTATTGAGGAACACGTGTCAGTTGGGAAATAAGATCAGCTAGTGTTTTCGGTAACGAGTGATAGACCAAGAATATTGTATGGGCTCACCCCATTGAATTGCTTGAGGGTAAAGTAAACCACGAGTCACGAATCATTTGTTCACTAACGCAACTAAATTGGATAAAATACCTAAAGACATTGCAACCAGTAATGCTATATCGTTTAGATCTCGAAACATGAGTGTCAGGGAGGTTTATGCCATGACCTTCCTGCCTATAACGAAGGACTTCAAAATAGCCACTTTACCTAATATTATTTACGGTCAATAGTTAACATAATCACCAAATAGTTCGCAGTCAGAAATAATTTCATTTACATCACATCACCTATTTTTCTTCTGAATCATTGCGTTATGATAGACAAGAATAAATAAATTCCTAGCCCTTTACGACGGTCCCTTACAACGTGAATCAGTTTTTAGAGCTCATAACCATAAGAATTAGTGCTAACACCCTTATTCAACTCACTCAAGAAAGTGTGAAACATCAACAAAAGCGTAACAGAAAAGTTGTAAGATGGAGCTACAATCCAATGACCTCACTAGCCAAATCTGATTAGCATCACAGACGCAACGACCAAGTTCGTGCAAAACTATTCTCATTAAGTCTGCCTCGATTTGGAATGCTCTTCCAACCAGGGTGACTACAACCCCTTCAGTACATAACTTTAGGGAAAGAATTGACCATTACGTACTCACGTACTCACTTCATGGACCAGATATGCCTGATGAGTGACTCAAAACTTGCTAGTTGATATTGTTAACATTTCTTCAGATCACTAACCTTATTCATCTTGCTCACTATCTCTGTTTCCTCTCGCTTGTTTACACTTCTGTTCTCTCGGACAATCTTTATAAACAACCTTTACAGTCCATTTAGCTACTTACTTGTGAAATCTCATTAGGATAAGAATTCTGTCCTCATTATTCTTCACAGTAACGTGATATTTGCTGGGACACAAATTATTAAATAATTGTCGACTAACAAGGATTTTCGCAGATGACCTACTAGAGTGCCATTCACTGAAAACTACTAAATACCTGGAACCATCCCGTAAGGACAAGAACGGAACACAACTAATCAACACCAGCATCTGCAAAACATATTGGATATTGGAAAGTTATGTGTTTCAAGGTTTGACCTTGATTTTTGTGGAAATAAATTCGAGGTGGTAAACGTGTTGGAGGATCAACGTCGTGTCAGTATTATCAGCTTCCCGTGTTTTTCCGAAGATACTATATAATTAAAGAAGACCTGAACCATGCCCATACAATGCAGATTTTACGAGGATTTATTTCCCGATGTCGGAGATGTTGTGCTTGTGACAGTTAAAGTCATCCAATCGATGGGTAGCTATGTGGAACTGTTGGAGTACAAAAACATTGGGGGGATGATATTACATAGTGAGCTGTCTCGTCGACGCATAAGATCTATTAGCAAACTTGTTAGGATCGGGTCAAACACCGAGGTAACTGTAGTGCGAGTCGACAGTGCCAAAGGTAATTACACATTGATTTTATAAATTCTCAGGTTATATTGATTTATCAAAAAGAAGAGCATCTGCTGAAGAGATAGCAAAGTGCAAGGAAAGGTTCGCCAAAGCTAAAGCGGTTCGTTCACTATTATCTACAATAATTCCTATTTAGGTTAACCAGATTCTGAGGAACGTAGCAGAGAAATTGGATTATAAAACTGACGAACAACTTGAAGAGCTGTGTAAAAAAACCGCCTGGTATTTTGACAGGAAAACTGGTCGCAGAGCTGGTTCGTATGACATTTTCAAGAAAGTTGTAAAGTAAGCCTTTTACTACTTAGTTAACTCCATGTGCTTTATGAGTGCCGGGGAAATTACAAATTTTTCTGTTGTCTGAAGTTCACCGGTTAGTAGTTCATCTATGAATGGGCATTGTTTCGAACTAGTAGTTCTATTTAAAACATTAATCTAGAAGGGTCGCAAAAATTAATGTCATCACAGTATCTACTGACCTTCGTGTTCTTCAGAAGTTCCAAGTTTAAACTTCGTTTCACACAAAAATTTTCATTCTTAACAAGGCTCCTATAAAAGCCTATTTTTTTGGGTGGTTAGGTTTTCACTGTCGATTTAATGCACTTGAAGCGTTTCTGCATAGCTGTTTGTATGTATATTTTGTTTCTGCTACTCAAAAATGGAGGCAGATGAAAATCGAAAAAGCTGAAGTCCCAAAGGTCGATAATTTATTGAGCTTGTTTTCTGCAATCAATATTAGCATGTTTTATTTCAATGATTGTATCGTCGTAAAGTCGTAACGTTATGTATTGTGTTGCGATTTTTATCTCACTGAGTCTACTAAATGCTTCCTAATGAGATAGCTCTTTAACGTTACCGCGATTATCACTATTAACCTAATATACTTTGTCTGAAATGTCTGGTCATCATCAAGTTTTGATTGTTTACAATATATGACCATAATATATACCATTAGTGAAAATGTCGACTGACCATCACCATACTTAAATTGTGTAAGCATTGTTATTCCTCACTCTATCTACGATTTTAATGGTTTTGAGATATATACAGATTAGCCGGATACTTTACTTTCACTCTTAAAATATCTATATTTTAGATGTTAGTCACCAAAATGTTGTTACTCCTACTTGGGATAAGCTGTAACCCTGTCTACAAGGACGGTTTAAGTACCCATCCTCTCCAATATAGGATGATAGGTTGCAGTACAACTTCAGTTTGCGTAATTAGTTATCGTGTACTGTTCACACAAGTGTGACTATAAGGTCAGCCAATGCATCTTCATATGGTCGTTGATTAGTAATTAGTTTATTATTCTGTGCAGTCATTAACATAATTACTGAGCCACGTTGGTTTTTACTGCTTTTCTAAACACAATACTCGTTTCCAATCATTTTAGTTGAGAGCAAATGAAAGCTCTGTGCAGTGTTATTGAAACAATACACAAGTAATTATTCTTTTACTTAAAACAAATATCGGTACAAATAGGCACCAAAATATATATGCGCTACACAATAAAAATAAGGTTGTGCACATATGGAGAAAAAATAATGGTAATAACAAAAAATGGGTAAAAATTAGTGTATAAGAGTGAAACCAAAACAGCAGAAATCCATGAAGTCACTGACAAGTCAACTAAGTTATGTTGGTAGTTGTCGACTACCTGGTTGGGGTCCGCGAGACTATAGTAACCGATGGTTAGAGACCTTGAACGACGTGGCTCAGATTCGTTCGCAGTGACGCACGTGCATCCACTTCTTGTTTTCTCTCAAACTCTAATCTTCAGAATCCCTCATCACCCTTATCTTTCTCTTTACAAATTTATGTCACTGAATTATACTTCTTGAATAATATCTCTACCACTATGGGATTTGAACTGGCAATTGCGTCTCTGTGCTATTGTGGTGTGGCAACCCTAACTGATGTACGTACGTACGAAGTTCTACGTTGTAACTGAGTGCCCCAACAGGTTGCTGAACCTCTGCAGTACTATCATGGTGTTGCTACTGAATGTCGGCAGTCCTTCGGAGACTTCAGTGATCGTACATAGGGTTGCCGGACACTCCTAGCTCAGGCCAGGAGGGAGCAAAACTGCTCTCACTGACGCGTTGTAGACCCGATATTTTACAGCCAGATTGACATCACAAAGGCGTCAAAGATGGCTCAGATTAGCATCAGTCACTCTGGATTCCACTAAACGTTATTCTATCCATTCACCCACACAACCACTAGCACTTATATAGCTACACGGACACAAATTCTTTTCAATCACCTTTGTCTGCTCACTGCTAAGGGTGATTGCAGGCTCAAAGTACTGCCAGTCTCGTAAAAGTAGTTTACAGTCGAAAGGTGAAAAGCTGATGCCATACCTATGGACTGACTACGTGCGGATAGCATGGCCTAGATATCAACACACAGTACGACAATATCATGTACATAATCAAGGTTCAAAGGTCTAGGCAACAGGTCCACGCCACCATTACCTATATTCGTCAGAGCTGTTTCTAGAACGCCATCAAGGGCAAAACTAAATAGAAATTGTAAGATTGGACGACTCTACCTTATCGTATTGATTGACTGAAATTACGAAGAGAGGTGGTTGTATGCCCTCTCTCTGACTGAGGTATTTGTGCATACGTCCTTCAAGATAAACTTCCCTTCTTCAAGAGACAATCTCGGAGTAGAGTCCTGTCCAATGAACCGAGGGCGGCACCGATGTCAAGAATTACAAAGACTGTTGACCATCGATAAGCATGTTGATATTATGACAGTTGGTTGAGGTAGACGATACGATCAACACATCCTTGACTAAAATGAAAACCATACTGCTTCTCGCGAGCCAGTCTTTCACGGATTTTAAATACTCTGCAAAGTTTGGCGGAAGCCAATAATCTAAACTCAGTCGGTAGTAGACTTTTCCCCTGATAATTGTTACATAGTTGATATGAACTCTTTTTATAGATAGGGACAAGGTATTGAAACACTGCAATTGCCAAACGGTTGTAAACAATTCAGTCAGCCTCACAGTTTTAAGGTCGGTAACATCTTAAAAAAGGCTGAACGTAAGTCATCTGACCCTAGCAATTTGTGCCGCTGCAATAGTCTAAGTTCCTAGCGGGCTTCTGCCTCGTTAGTTAGATCAGTCATCACCTATCATGGAGGAAAAGACAGTGTGATCAATGTTACTTGGGCAGCAGACTAGCTGAACTGTTCCTCAAAAATCTGTGTCCACCATCCAAACCATCGGTGGATGTTATTGGTTGGTGTCCTATTAGCTTCACAGATTGTTTCACTCACACCAGACTTGCTGTCTTTGACTGAAATGAGTGTAAAAGGTTTATGGGAGTTATCAGATTCAGCTTGCTTACAAATAATTATGAACTCATGTTTTTGTACACATGTGTTTATCAAGTCTGTACTTATATGTTCGACGACCTTTTGGTTCAGGATATTTTTTATATACGTATAATGACGTATATATATATATATATATATATATATATATATATATATATATATATATAATATCAAACCCACTTATTTATGCATCCACACATTCTGTCCGTCTAGAGAACAAGTTTTTCTGAAAAGTAAACATTATGTAGTAATACGTTGCCTTATGACCTAATTATTGGGGCGACGAAGGCAAACATACTCGCAAGTGTTTAAGTCGACCAACAGTACAAAATTAATACGAATAGTTTGGCAATAAGAACCCACCAGACGGAAATACTAAATAGTCCTATGATTGTTAGTGATCTGTTATAATGGACCTTGTTCAACGATAATTGAACCAGCTGAATGTTTATTGAAAAAATAATATTTTGTATTGATTATTCCTTTTAATTCACGTATTGTAAATAACTTTATATAGTTCACCAGAAATCCTTGATGAATGTGACATAGATCAACCAACAAAAGAAATGCTTCTCACTGATATCAGACATCGATTGACACCAAAAGCGGTAAAAATCCGTGCTGACTTTGAGGTTTCGTGTTTCACGTATGATGGTATCGATGCTGTCAGAAACGCACTTCGGTCTGGACTAGAACTTAATTCAGATTCTCTTCCAATTCGGGTGAGCTAGTTTTGTTAATTTGGTTCTCAGTTAGCTTTAAAGTTATTTAGATGTTGATAGGCTTATAGTAAATTCTGGATTATTGTATATAGAGATAAAACAGTATTATTGATTTTTGTTAGTATCATCAATAGCTCTAGGAATTCATTTCAAAGTGAATAAATATAGATTACAATAATAAAGGCAACTACTACTGATGTGTAACCAGAAAGGTTATAAAACTTTGCTTAACACGTTAATTGGCTTTAGATTCCTGCTTATCGTTTGAATTTAAGGAATGGTACGCAATGTTTTTTTATGTAGATTAGTGTGTATCTTATTTGATTGCAACTATTATTCTGGAGTCGGTTAATATACATGGGTATTTAAATTCACGATATAGTTTGGGGACTTAAAACCAAGATACACTACAAAATACGTTGAAAATATTTTTCATACATGTGACAAAAAGCCAGTTTCTTTGCAAAAAATCACAGAAATACCGATTCATTAGGAAACAAATCATCGTTAATTGCATTGGCAGGATTGGTTTAGCTGCTTTTGAATACTTTCACTTCATACAGAGCTTTTCGATATAACGATAAACTTATTGAGAAAAGCTTAGTAAATATTATCCTGTACGAAATAAAGATGTTCCTATCAAAAATTTATATGAATCATTCCGTTAATATCCGGGTCTGTTGTTAAGTTAGAATGTTTTCTACCATAGGATTGTGCTTGGAAATCCATTTTACTTTTCTTAGTTTGACAGTTTGGTTGGTGCCAATTACTGCAATACATAAATATGGACATGGATGTTGCGTTATGTTTAAAATCTTGACTCCACCAACCGAAGTAATCATGAATATAGACTTTTTTGCTCGATGCTCGAAACTGTATTATGTGTTAAGTTATGAAACTTCAGAAAACATGGAGCACACTGCTCCGTTACCGACCGTCTGATAAGAACTCTTGTCATTTGACTGAAAATCAGTGTAACAATAATTTTATCTTAGTTCCTAGAATTCGCTCTACTTAACAAATTAAATTACTATTTCTAGAGCCAGATATCAACAGGCAACTACTACCTGTTAATATGCAAGCTACAATCTGTGGCTTAAACGAAGCAAAACAACTAGCTGGACATTCATTGTATTGCCAACAAGTCTGACGCTCAGCTCTTCATTAAATCACAGTAAACTACTGAGTTTTAAGTAATTTTTTGTTGTTTGTGGAATTCTGACGACATTTTAAGAAATTGTTGTTTACGTTTGTTAAAATACCGGTCATATAATAATTGAGATACAATTTCAAAGCATGATGAATACATTTGGTACATCCGTGAGTTTTTAAAATGTGATTTTCTGTTTGTTGAATATTTTATCTTTTATTCATACAGAAAGATTGAAATGGCATTGCTTTAAACAGATGTTCCTAAGTAGCTGAACTGATAATTGTTGATGCTCATTCAGAATCCCTTGTACTGTGAGTTCTGATTACTTTGATATCATCCTGAAGTTGCCACCTGTGGCATATTACAAAGCACTGAGGCACTTCAACAGTTCAGACGTTTTTCAACACTGTCTATTTTGATATACTTGGCAGCATTAGTGTTCATTCTTTTTAAAATTATTTTTAGATCAATCTGATTGCGCCACCACTTTATGTACTAACCACACAAACAATGGATCGAACTGCTGGCTTGGGACAGCTCAATGAAGTGTTAGAGGTTATCAAGAAATCGATTGAAAATCAAGGTGGTTCATTCAAAATTCAACAGGCTGTGAGTCTGGTTGATTTTTTTAATGGTAGAAGTATTTAATTTGCTACACATCGCCACCGCTTCATTAGTGGTAGTAATTAAAGAATTCAATACTTTTACTAGTTATAACTACTTATTGAAAGAAGCCTGTTGTGTAACTCTTATGTTGTCATGGTGGGTGCTAAATATTGGAAAAGCTCAAAACGTGTGGGGCATTTTCAGATTTTACTGTATCCATAATACACATGACGTTACCAATTACTGTTGGCTAACTAAGTTATTTTATTTTCCAGCCTAGGGTCGTTTCAGATACAGATGAAGCGGACCTACAACGTCAAATGGATGAATTAGAAAAAGCTAATCGTGAAGTCTCTGGTGACGAGGATGATGAAGAGGAAGATGACGACGGTGAGGAAGATGACGATTCGATTTCTAACGATGAAGGCCAAAATGGACATAAGTGATACATCCTATAAGTTTTTATTCAGTTATATGAATAAACGATTTTTTCGCTCTAATTCAGTATTATTAGCACCGTTATGTGCAAGATGGGGGAATTGACTAGAACAGATTTTGTCATCTCTACAGTTGAGTATTTTTATTTATCTTAAGATTGCGGTATTCGTCCATTCGCCAGTGTTTCCCAGGTGTTGATTAAGTACTAGATGATTGTCTGTAAAGAACTAGGTAATTTACAACTGATAAAGTCAATTAATCCTATACAAGCTCTCTCAGTCAGTCAGTCAGTTGCAACGTAGAACTTCGTACGTATGTACATAATTTCATGTTGCCATACCACATTAGCACAGAGACGCAAATGTCAAATCAAATCCCATAGTGACAAAGATAGTAGGGGTATTAATGGTAATGAAGAATACTAGGGTTCGAAGATATTATTCAAGAAGTATGATTCAGTGAGATAAGGTTAGAAAGACAAACGTAGAGGTGCTGAAGAATTCAGAAGATTAGGATTTGAGAGAGCTCAAACAATGGATGCACTTGCGCCATTGCAAACAATTTTGAGCCATGTCGTTCAAAGTCTCTAACCATTGGTGACTGTCGTCTCGCGGACCTCAACCAGGTAGTCTACATCTACCAACATGACTCAGTCCACTAGTCAGTGACTTCATGGATTTCTGCCATGTTTTGGTCTGGCCGTCCCTAGCTTTCTTCTAACCTACTCCTACACCACAAAACAAAGCTCGTCGAAGCAGTCGGTGGTTAGCCATAGGTAACACATCTCCCAACCACCTCAACTGATGAAGTCTCACCACTTCATCGATTGATCTGCCATTCTTACCTAGTACTCGTTTCCTAACGACAGCATTGCTTCCTCGGCTGTCCCACGATATACGAGCAATGCTTCTAAAACATCTATGAACGAATACTAGTAACCTACGAACATCTACTCTTAACGGCCATGTTTCACAGCCATATAGGAGAACGGTGCGAACTGCTGAGCAGTACACTCGTCCTTTGATTAGAGAACGGATATCACGCCTACGCCATAAGTGACGCAGGTTGGCAAAAGGCAGTCGAGCTTTCTGTATCCGAGCTGAGATTTCGTCAGTCACCAGGTTATCATCGCTGATGAGACTCCCCAGATAAGTGAAGTGATCTACACGCTCGACTACTTCACTCCCTATCACTAGTTCAGGTGCCGATGCAACCCAATCTTGAAGCAACATTTTGCATTTCGAGGGTAAAACCGCATCACGAACAGGCTTGCATGTTGCTCAGGGTAGTCAGAAGACTCAGTATTTTTTCAGCGTCTTTATCGAATAGAAATATGTCATCGGCATATTCTAGATCAGTAAGCAACTTTCCTGGTAGAAGGTCAACCCCTGAAAAATCTGATGAGCTTAATGTTAACTCTAAGAGGATGTCTACGACAAAGTTAAACAAGAATGGGGAGAGTGGACAGCCCTGACGGACACCACTTGATGTAGAGAATTCCGCTGACAGTTCGCCATATGCTCTCACCCGACCAGTAATGTTCGAGTAGAGAGCTTGTATAAGGTTAATGTACTTCTTTGGCATACCTTTCAATGACAGACACTGCCACAGAACCTCAAGATCCACTGAGTCAAATGCCGCTTTTACGTCCAGGAACACGACTATTGTCGGACGCCTAAATGTGTGTCTGTGTTCCAGGACCTGTCGTAGTGTGAAGATGTGGTCTATACAACCACGTCCAGGTCGGAAACCAGCCTGGTTTTCTCTAGTCTGCTCTTCACGAGCTTTCGTTAAGCGTCGAAGTATTATTGATGTCAATATTTTAGATACTATATTAGTTAGACTTATTCTCCTGTGATTGTCACAAGAAGACTTTTGTCTTTTTTTATAACCACGGACAATCAGTGATTGAGACCTGTCAAATGGAATTACGTCCAGTTCCCAGATTCTACCTAAGATCTCAGTCAATCTAGCAGCTAAAACTGGACCACAATCCTTAAAATTCTCAGGAGTTAGCCTATCAGAACCTGCTGCTCTATCTCGCTTCAGCTTCCCTATAGCTTTCTCAACGTCATTAAGACTAGGGGGACTTAGGTCGATTTGCCATTCAGGATGACTGGAGATCGTGGGTAACCGAAGAGTGGCTCGTGGCCAGTTGAACTAATCCATAAAGTGTTCTGCCCATCGGTCCAATCTCTTGGATTGAGAATGGATAATAAGACCATCCTTTTCCGAGATAGCCTCATTCACATTCGGGTTCCTAATACCGGTTTCTCCAATAAGGCGGAAAAGTTGTCTAGTGTTACCGATCGCCGCTTCCTTTTCCATCGCTTTTGCTTTCTCCACCCACCACTGTTCGCGGTCGTTACGTAGGCTTTTTATAAGTCTGTGCCTAAGCTGACTACGCTCTACATCATGTTCAGAGTCAGGTGGGATGAGTTTTCGAGCATCCATCAGTTCGGTGGATGCGACTGAAATCCACGGCTTCATCCTAGCCTTGTGGTTTACCTTACTAGCAGATATCACTGCTGTTTCCACAGCCTTCTTGATATGATTTCAACCTGACTCCGGATGGGAACCACTTGCATGGCCGCCTAACTGTTTTTCTAGTTCCTCCTGAAATATTTCCTCAGCTTGATTATCATCAAGTAAAGCCCTAAGAGGCTTTCTTACGGTGTCTTTCCTACGTCCAGTAAGCCTCAAACAAATACGAGCTCGCACTAGGGCATGATCTGAATCCAAACATGTGCCCCAGAACGAGCGACAGTCCTCTATCGAACCCCTCCATCGGTGGCTGCTGGCGATATGATCTAGTTGTGTGCAACGTTGAGACGACTTCGGGGGTCGCCAGGTCAAAATATGTTTTTCCTTATGCTTAAAATTAGTGTTTGCTAGAAATAGTTGGTTATCTGAGCACAGTTGCAACAGACGGTCGCCATTGTCTATTCTTTGGGCCGCGAGACCATACGATCTACCTAGGTGTCTTTCATTTTCATTTAGTCTACCTACTTGAGCATTGAAGTCACCAGCCATTATTACTATTTCAGAGCGCCTAGCTTTTTGGAGGAGGTCTGAAAGCTTTCTGTAAAACTCATCTTTCATATCGTCTGGACTTCAGTCAGTGGGGGCGTAGGTTGATATGACGAAGAGGCAACGACGAGTGTCCCTATCTTTCCGAGCCCTTACTGTCCCGTTTAGTCGGACGGCGCACAAGCGACTATCTACAGGGATCCAGTCAAGGAGAGATTGTTCTGCCATACAACTCAATGCTATACCTACACCGGCGAGGCCCCTGGAAGCAGCATCAGGGCTATCGGATACACGAAGGGTAAATCGAGTTGCTTCTTTATCTTGACATGGTGAGGTCAAGTGACTGATGCTACTGGGATCCTGTATGCGCGTTTCCGAGACGCAGCACACATCGATGGCACGAGATTCTAAAGTCCTAGCTAATGATGCCTGTTGCCCTATTTGACACAATGTCCGTACATTGAATGCTCCAACATGTAGTTTAGAATGGGGTTTAAGGAGACCAGGAACGACGTTTCGCGAACTCGCATCGTTTGCATTAGCTGTGCACTGTGATATATGAATGTAAGAAGAGTTAGTCGTGGAGATCTGCTCTAACAGGAGCTGGGAAACCAGAAATATTTTGGATTTCAAGCTGGGCAGGTCACGTACTTTCTAGCTGCTATCTAAAGGAATTAAAAGATGCGAGATTCTTCTCCTGGACACCAGTAGATTGTGAAGTAGACAGGTGCACACCTGTAAACAGGAGTCCTATGATGTGAAAATATCTAATATCCCTACGTGTTAGAATCGATATTATTCGATTGTTTATGCTTGTTCGCTGATATTAAATGTTTGAGCAATGAGTTCCCTCTTATCTTGGTGGGTGAAATTCAAAAATATTTTTACTAGGCACATTGGGAAATTCATGTACAACAAGACGTAAGTGGCAAAGATGATTTTGGAAGTAACCGAATATAACTGATTTGTAGTGAAATTTCTATATTTATAATTAGTGATGATGTTTTTAAAGTACCCACAAGTTATTTTCTAAAATATTTATTTTACCGAAGGAAACGCGATGATTTCTCAATAAATGTTCTATAGTGCAAGTGAATATAATGTTAGATAAACATGACCGTTGTGAAAAAATACGCAGTCTTTTTTAAGAGTAGGTTGTAAGACAGCTAGTGGCGGCCAGACCAAATCATGGCAGGAATCCATGAAGTCACTGACAAGTGGACTGGGTCATGTAGGCTACCTGGTTGGGGTCCGCGAGACGATAGTAACCGGTGGTTAGAGACTTTGAACGACATGGCTCAAAATTGCTTGCAATGGCGCAGGTGCATCCGCACTCTGTGTTCTCTCAAACTCTCTATCTTTTCCTTCTCCTTTAAAGTTATCTCACTGAACTGTACTTCTTTGGCTTTTCTCAAATTCTAATCCTCTGGATTCTTCTGTACCTTTCTCTTTTTAAGTTTATGTCACTATATTATACCTCTTGAATTATATCTTCGAACCCTAATATTCTCCATTACCGTTAATTCTTCTACTATCTCCATCACTATGGGATTTGAACTGACAATTGCGTCTCTGTGCAGATGCGGAATGGCAACCCTAACTGATGTACTCATGTACGATGTTCTACGTCGTAACTAATCGATGAAGTTCACTCTTATTGGGTCCTATTTATGTTTATTTAATGAGTGTAACTATACAGTCTATCGAGTCTTGTCTTTGCTATGCATCAGTTACCCCTGTATTGAACGAAAACGTTAAGGTCAGATGGAATAAGTCATATACCTAAAGATACAGTATATCAGCAAAATATGTACACCTTATCTTCGGACTCTTATTTGCAAAACAGATAGATTTTTGGCTCTTTCTCTTGTCTTCAAACACCGGTTTCCCCATACTACTGCAACGGTGCAAGTAGTATACACCACACCCTTATGAATTCGCATAATCCGATCGCAATCAGTTTGATTGATCCATTCGTTACGTTGACTCCAATACCCAGCTGACTTATTCTTGCATGTACTTAATACAGTATAAGGTTTAAACGACAAAAAAGCAGCCTTTCGAAATTACGGAAACGAGACAACTACTCATTGTGCTATGAAATATGTATTTCCATTGTTTATGTGCAGGTTAAGAGCGAATGATAGCTATTCTATCGTGTTGGTTTGTGCCACACAAATATATGAAAAAAGATTACGACTTTAGATGAGTTAAATGCAGCCGAGTTTATTGAATTTATGGTTTGTAGCGTTGACACTTTCTAAACATTCCTCGCAATATTTAAGACATATACAACGAAATCCAAGAAACAAGGTGAATTTGTCCGTCTATACATGCGCAAAGTCAAGTTTTTTTTAAGACAGGAACGCTTTCTTGGCCACAATTTTTAAAAATGCTCTGATAAAACGACTGCTACGATCCTTAATGCAAAACTTTTGTCCCATGTGGAAATCGAAATGCATTGTCGATGCCTTATATTCTGATCGCTTCTTAAATTTACGGTTTTACGAGTGTTTTAGAGATAATGTGCAAACATAAAATTGTCCGTATACTGGATCGTTCAAATATCGGTACGCAAAATGAGCTTATCTATTCTTAAAACTCTACAGAACGATTTGGTTGAATATGTTAAGATATTTATATTGACAGTAAACGTACATCCCTTTATGTAAGTCCTATACGGTTGCAATTCACCGTCTGACCAAATCACAGCTTCTTATATTGAACTCATTTGTTAGTTCCACTTGGAACTGCAGGACGCACTTCTTGTACATTTGCAACCAATGATGGGGCACAAGCTTAGTATTCGGTTTTACAAATATCTAAAAAATATCCATTATTTTCAAGCAGATAAGGCTTAGTTTTACGTCTGATCGTTGTTTGCAACAAATCAACACCCGGTGGTGGCCTTCATTGGATGAATGCACGCTTTAACTAGCTTCTCTCAATTTTGGTATTTCAAGATTCTTCGAAACAACTAAGTTTTTGATGAGATATGTTTAACTAAGAGGAATGGCAGATTGAATATATTAAACCATTTCAGTGTTATTATGAACATCTCTTGTTACTTCGGTTTTTGAAGAAATCAAATACTTACCGTTCGCAACATGAATATTTTAGACATACATATCAGTATTTTCTATTATAGCCTTCAATTAATATGTAGTGCCATAATCCACTTCCGGCTGATATATCTCAAAATAATGACGTAATAGTGAAATAACAGCATATTCAATCAAGCAGTTACAAAGGTTAGCAATTGAAAATAAAGTAGCGTTTTTTTGTTTGCAGAATATGATACATACATAAGCATCAGATTAGGAATGGCTAGCTAATGTCAACAGTATGCAATTGCAAGGGAAATATCACAAGTAATAATTAACTTCATAGATTAGAAAAAACAACTTCAGACTGTCTAATCGAAAGATATCAACTGTGCCTCTGCAGCAGCCGGCTCAGTATGGTTGTTAAGTGCATCGCTTGAGCGGTTCATTACTTGTGTGTAGCTGGGTGTATTGCTTTTGTCCGTTACAAAGTGGCCAGATGGATAAGTTTGGTTTACAGGATAACCTTTTGAATCATCCTGTTCTGTATAGGTCGGCAAAGATGCTTGCATACCTTGGCAGAAAATGAAAAGATTTAAGTTAGATGAAACTGAGCAAAGGAAACAAGAACCTTCACATAAAAAGATGACAGTATCATTTTAATTTGACTTAATAAACAGAATGAATAATCGAAGTAACAAGTGAGCTAGCTACAATTCATCTACGTGTAGTAGTCTAATGTTAACTAGAGGAGTGATTAGATTCACTGGAGAGAATTAATTAGGAGCATAGTTTTTGTGTGAGTGTTTACATTGTCAGAAAGGAGAAGGAAAAAACACCCTAATAAAGCAACGACAACTTGATAAAAAAGGTAGCCTTAGTGAAGGATAAAATATTAGCGTTTTCGACGCAGTATAATCTAATCAGAATAAAATTCCTAGATGGACGACTTGAATGTTAGTGAAGCAATAGGAAATCATACGCTTATATACAAGTTATGGATTTGCTCAGCTCCGTTAGTATCTCAGAAGAAATACGTGGAGTCGTAATTATTCATCGTCAATTTATCAAATCTAATAAATATACATTATACGATGCCCTAAAAATCAGAAGCATGTAATACAGCAAAGTCCCATACGATGAAGACACAGGAGTAGCACGATGCACTCTGCTGAACTTAGAGCTTGAAGTGACTGTCGCACCATTACAACATCTGTTGTCCATATACGCATTACATACGGATGCATGTATGAAATATGTAGTGACACCTAGGAACAAAGGTGCTAAGATATATAAAGTTGACTAAATATCCGAACTGATTACCATAGAGCACTGACAAGATGTAGCTAGTACACATTAATATATCGTTCTTAGGTGGAAAAACTGAAATACTTAAGACTTAATTTTAAGAGAACAATGTCGATTATCACAATACATTTACGAACAGATATGTAGAAGGTACGTACTTTGCATCGAAAATGAGCCAGATGGAACAGGGTTTTGGATTTCCTGAGAAAACGAACGATGAGGCTGAATGTTATGGCCAACCAGATTGGAAGCATATGAAGGATGAAACTGTGGTGTAAAAGTCATATTATTACCAGGTCCACTACTACCGATTTGAGTAGGCACTAGTGAATTCGGATCTGTGAACTGTGTGGTATAAACCGTATTTTCTCTTGGTACATAATTGGTTTGGACAGGTGGAAATGATGCGTAATTTATTCCAGATAAATAAGGTAAAGCGTAGTTGGTTGGATAATTCTCTCCAGGTACAGCGGTTGGTACGCTAGGAAATGATTGGGCATTGTACGGCAAAGATTGCTGTGGCATTGCAAATTCTTGTTGGTACTGCATATTTTGTTTTAGTGTCATACGAAGTTTGTACTCCAAAGTGTCCTGTATGAAAATTTAAACATTTTACAGGCTTTAATGAAAATGCCATGGCAAGAATGAGGTACTCTTGAAAGTAAGTGAAGACAAAGTGCTATGGCAAAAAACATGCTGATAAGTTCTTTCAATAATATCGTGAATCGAAGATGCGTATAGGAATGTGTAAAGCAAGTTTAAGTTATCAAAGAAAATGGGAGTTCTTGGACATCAGTTGATATACTATGATTCTTTAACAGTATACGAAATAACTCAATAATAATCAGCCACTTTTCAACGTGTAAGAGCAGAGTGAATGATGTATCAGGAGTTAGGAATGCTACCTCCGAACCGGTATAGTAGAAAGCAGGAAGATAATGTCATACATTCAGCCACTGATATATTCTGTAGGTCTCATTAAAGCAACGCTATGAATACCATCGAAACTTAGTATTTGTTCAAAGACTATGTTGGCGACCAGAAAAGATCACATTATATAGATTAACAAAATAGCTAATATGTTCGTATATTATGGAATATAAATGACATTAGAATTGCAAAGCATCACTTAATTTCTGCAAATACAGATTAGGAGACCTCCTGTGAACCTTTCAAAAGCTGGATAAGTTCGGAAGTTGACAGTTCAACAAGATGTTGGTTTTCCAAGAGGCTATTGCTGGACCTATTAACTAACGGAGTAAGGTAAAGACATGGTTGGTCCAAATCAGTATTATTATTATTATCCGTTGTTCATGGTAATGCGATGAATATGACGTGAGTACTTTATGATTCATATAGACTCATACTGATGATTCAATGACGTACAACACTAAGCACACTCAGATGTTAATCATTTTGCCGAAGGCAAAAAGGTTTGCTTACAAACCTTCATCTTTACGCTTCTTATTCGTGTGAAGTTAATACTTTCGGACTTACACGTATTACCCATTCGGTCGCGTTTGATGTACGCTGTTACTATAATCGTCACTCGAATGTCCTTGTATTGGACGCCTATCAGATTACATACATCGTAACAGTGCGGCTAGTTAGGTAAATTGCCAGATACTTGTTTTGAAAATCAAAAATCTCATCGATTTATTTCTGTGGATGCATTAAATTTGTTTGTTTCTCTCGCATTTGTTGCTAATTACAACTGAATAAGGGTTGAGTGAGCAGTGCAACAGGATTTCGGGCGATATATTATCAACCGTCATTTACTGAGTTAAAACAAACACTTCATTTATTGCGTCTGGATATGTATTTCTGACGTTAATTGGTAGACAGAGCCAAAAAATTTAGTCGTACTGTAGATAGAGAACTCACCATACAAAACTATAAACTTGAAGAAGCACGACATTATTGTCTTAACATTTGATATGACATTTAATATTTATTTTAAAAAATGTTAACTTTTCATAGTCAGATTAATATTTCGGTAAAAAATTTTAATCATACTACGTAAACACAAAATGTAGACATGTGAAACCTACTCTTTTCTGTTGTCGCATAGCTTCCAATTTCTGCATTATCTGTTGCTGACGCATGCGAGCTGCTTCTTGCTCTTCCATTTGTTTGCGAACAGCATGATCATGTCTCAACGCATCCAAAGCCTCGCGAGCTTCACGAATCTGGTTTAGTTTATCTTGCATTTTCTCAAAATAAGCTGAAAATTAAAGCTAATATGTATTGTAAAAAAATCTCCATATATCTTTTTAGTATAAGGTAAACATTGGGTCATCGAAAAATGAAATAAACGAGGTTGAATGAATGATGCATGATTTCATTTCAATAGGTTATCACTAACTGAGTAATAACAGGTGTTAATTTCTAATTTAATTGATTGATTCCGAACTATAGCCACAATACTCACATTTTACCGTCATTAATGTCACTTTACTCCGATCGCTGTTAATAATTTTCTTTCGATATAACAGTCGAAAATGTAGCAACTTAGATCGATACTAATATTCGTCTGATTCTAAATTGTTTTTAAGTGATTGTGGTAAAATGCATCTCATTTAATTATGTGGGGCTATTTATAAATCAATCTATTGCAATCAGCTAACAAACAGAAATGAAGAATTCAAACAAATCAACACGCTCACCTCGGCGTTCCTCCATATAGTGTTTATAGTTCATTAATTGGGGATGCATTTCATTTAATGTCAAAAACAATGCTTGGACCGTTGTATCATTTGAAATGTTACGCCCTCTTTGATTATTGCTCTGTAAACGATTCACGAAAAACTCTATACTACCACGTAAAGCATCAAGGAACTCCTCTTGTTTAGGATTAGTCAAGTCTGGGATTGGTGATATGTTGATGCCCATCTTACTGTTTGGATTAGCTGAATTCTGAAAAAGACATTTCCGAATCAGTTAATTAGCTGTCGATCATCTGGGGTAAAATGTAATAGTGTGAGTAAGAATCAGTAAAATGTTAAACACAATATTCAGTAGTAATAATTAGATGGAAGAAAAGTTACACAAAAAGCAATAAATATCCCAAGTGTCGTGCCTTTATATGCTTTATTCTTTCCTTAGTAATGTACAAGTTGCAAACATCAGCTCTTTTGATAAGTAGGTTAGACGAATACCAGTTTATACATATTTCTATTACATTTATGAATAATCGTCTCACCCACCTATGAAATTGTTTGTCGGCACTAGAACACCAGTGAAGCTTTAATACGAAGTGAGTACTGCAATTTATATTGGAAACTTTAAAGCTGTTGACATAAGTCTGACATGAGTTGTTCAGACATATGGTTTGCTTATCTTACGTTTTTGCATAGTTCTTTAGATTGTTCTTTCAACGAACACTACATAACTGTCAGAAGTTTAAAATGGATAGTTGTAAAGTTAATAAATGATAGTGCATCATGAATCTGATTAAAGACGGTGTAACAGAAAAAACTAACAATCAACACAAAGTCAGAGCCCAGTTGAACATTTCTCTTGTATGAGGGGTCAATATTGATATAAGACCAACTACAACGAAAGCTTTCTTGAATGTAACTTTTCAGCAGTTTGATCATTTTTGTTGTTACTGCACTTTATTAAACTTTACTTTTTTGGAAAGCAGATGTAGTAAATTTTTGTATCGTATGACCTGACAACCATTTAATATGCGTGAAAACACCAAGAGAAAAGGAAAGCGATAGTGAAAATTCAAAGGGATAAAAAAAATGAGGTCGTTTGAATAACTGTAATTGACTTTGAGTCTTCAGTCTGAAACAAATACGTAAATGAATACGAGGTTTTTATAGGTATTATCACACAAAATGCGTATAAAACAGATAAAGAATAAATAAATTAATATCTACATCACTGAGACAGCTGAATTTTAGTAAAAATGATCTAACTCGTTCCAAATGAAATAAATAACTGCTGATTGATGGTAAACGAGACAAAATATGCCAAAGTTATTTATAAAGAGTGAGTCAGTCAATTACAACGTAGAACTTCGTACGTAAGTACAACAGTTCAGGTTGCCTTTGCGCATTTACACGGAGATATCACTTTCATTTCAAATCCCATAGTGGTGAACATAGTAAAACTAATGGTAATAGAGAAAATTAGGGATCGAAGAAATTATTCAAAAAAAAGAATTCAGAGAATAATTTGAGGAAGGCGAAAGATAGAGGTGTTGAAGGATTCTGGAAATTAGAATTGCATAGAACACAAAGAGTGGATGCCCCTGGGCCATTGCAAACGATTTCGAAGCGTGTTGTTCAAGGTCTCCAAACATCGGTGACTTTCGTATCGCGGACCCCAACCAGGTAGTCTACATCTACCGACATGACTCAATCCACTTGTCCGTGACTTCATGCATTTGTGCCATGTGTTGGTTTGGCCGCCCCTAGCTTTCTTCCAACCTACTTCTACACTACAATACATAGCTCGTCGAGGCAGTCGGTGTTTAGGCTTACGCAACACATGTCCCAACTAACTCAACTGATGAAGTTTCACCACTTCATCGATTGATCTGCCATCCCTACTTAGTACTCGCTTACTAACGGCAGCATTGCTTACTCAATTGTCCCATGATACACGAGCAATGCTTCGGAGACATCGATGGTCGAAGACAAGCGTCCTCTACTCCTACCGGCCGTGGTTTGCATCCGTATGGTAGGACCGTGAGAACCGCTTCGCAATACACTTGTTCTTTAGTCAACAAAGAGATATCTCGCCTGCGCCATAGGTGACGCAATTTGGAAAAAGCCAATCGAGCTTTCTGTACCCATGTTGAGATTTCGTCAGTCACCAGGCCATCAGCACTGATGAGAATCACCAGATATGTGAAGCGGTCTACACGTTAGACTACTTCACTCCCTATCACTAGTTCAGGTGCCGATGCAACCCAACCTTGAAGCAACATTTTGAATTTCGAGGGTGAGAACCGCATCACGAACAGGCTTGCATTGTTGTTTAGGGTAGTCAGAAGACTCTACACTTTGTCAGCGTCTTCATCGAATAGGACTATGTCATCAGTATACCCCAAGTCAGCAAGCGTGTCTCCTGGTAAAATGTCCACTCCTGAAGAGTCAGACGAAAATAAAGTTAACTCTAAAAGCATGTCGATGACAAAGTTTAACAGGAACGGAGAGAGAGAACAGTCCGGACAGATATCACTTGAAGCAATAAATTCCGATGACAGTTTGCCATAACCTCTCACTCTACCAGTGGCGTTCGAGTAGAGAGCTTGTATAAAGTCAATGTACTTCTTTGGTACACCTTTTAATGACAGACACTACCACAGAACCTCACGATCCACAGAGTCGAGGGACGCCTTCAGTTCGAGAAATACTACTATTGTGGGACGTCTGAACGTGTATCCTTGTTCTACGACATGACGGAGGGCATGATCTAAATCTTCTATCGAACCCCACCATCAGTGGCTGATGACGATGTTATCTAATTGGGTCCAGAGTTGTGACGACTTTGGAGGTCACCAGGTCAAAAGATATTTTTCCTTATGCTTAAAGTTAGTTTGATAGAAATAGGCGGATATCTGAGCAGCGCTGCAGCAGTCGGTCGCCATTATCAGTTCTTTGGGCCGCAACACCATAAGATCCACCAAGGTGTCTCACCTTTCCATTCAGTCTACCTACTTGACCATTTATTTCAACAGCCCTCATTACCATATCAGAGCGCCTAACATTTTGGAAGAGGTCCGAAAGCTTTCTGTAAAACTCATCTTCCACCTCGTCTGAACTGCAGTCAGTAGGAGCATGGTTAGATAAGATGAAGGGGCAACGGTGAGTGTCCCTATCTTTCCCAGTCCTTACTGTCCCGTTTAGTCGGACAGTGCACATGCAACTATCTACTGGGATCCAGTCAAGGAGAGATTGTTCTGCCATACAACTTAATGCTATACCTACGCCAGCGAGACCCAGGAAGCAGCATCACAGCTTCCAGATATACGAAGAGTAAATCGAGTTGCTTCATTATTTTGACAAGGTGAAATCAAATTATTCACTTTAATAGGATCCTTCCTGTATGCGCGTTTCCCAGACGCAACATACATCGATTGCACGGGATTCCAGAGTCCTAGCTAAGGAAGTCTGTTATCCTACTTGACACAATGTCCGGACATTAAATGCTACAATATGTAGTCTAGAACGGGGTCTCAGGAGACCAGCAATGACGTTTCGTGAACGCGCATCGTTTGCATTAGTGGTAATGGGTGATAAAGGAATGTGAGAAGAGTTTGTCGTGGAGATAAGAGAGATGTTAGGAGATGTAGGAAGGATTTGATTGTGACTAATTTGATTTCGCGTGCTGTTACGGGTATGAGGGCAGATGTCACTTCCCGGCTGCCCACACCGTGGAAGGATGTTTCTTGAGGGACCTGAAAAGGAAGGCAGATCAGTGCTGGTCTTAACGACCTGGTAGCCTGACCGCAGAGTCCAACCGAGAACTACTTCAGGCCGGTCACACACGGTCTTTTTATGAGAAGTTTTTGAAGTGTTGGCTTCGTTCGTTTTAACAGCTCCTTCCTTCGGAAATCCGTAAGGTAAGGTGTAACATTTTTAGGGTCGAACTTTTCTAACCCCTTCCTACCTTGTGAGCAGGCAGCATCGCTGATTGTCCAAGGTAAATACATTACTGCCGTCATACGCCTCTACAGTCAGCAGTACGACTTCGCCCTCAGACCGTGAGTAGCTAATTTTGGTCTCATCGTTCTCCAGTCGACCTGCCTGGCATGGTAGGACCTACAGGAACATTTGTTCCAATATAGCTCGGTTGGGTCATTACGACAGGCAAGCCCGACCACCACGTCAAGGTAACAATTACGGTCGGGATTTAGAAAAAGTGCAGTTATGAGTGTGGTTAAACCACAGAGTAAGTAAGGACTGTCGAAATAAAATCGTACTAACGTGTGAACTCGCCAATGGATGACCTTATCCATATAAACTACTTGAATAATTTTTTTTGAGATGTTAGTAATAATTCGCACGACAATTCGGCTGGTGTAAGTTAGCTAAGTTCAATGGCTTAGATACACTGATGCTTTGGTTACATATAAAAGTAGAACTTCTCATTTCTTTGTTTTAACTGATGACTAGACTATTCACGTTCATTTGCTTATTTATGTTTTTCATCTTTCGATGTTTTCATATATTTGTGTAGGTAAAAAAAGTGACAAATTGATAAGTTCATCAACAACGTTACTTCGAGGCAGTTAAACAGTCATATGCAACGTAGAATCTGAAATACGTGAATCAGGTGAAGCTTTCATACCTCTATTAGAGCGATAAAATTTCTCTAGGACAAACGGAGTACTAGGAGTAAAAGCAGTATAAGTAGTAGCGAAGAGATTAGGTATGGAAGATAAAAATACAGAGGTTTCGAGTATCACGTTTTAGAGAGAGATAGAACACACATCCGTCCTTGTGAATGATTTTAAGCCGTATCAACACCTCAGCCGATGAAAATTTACTACCTCACCAATGGATCTGCCATATTTGCCTAGTACACTGAGTCTGACATTGGAATCGCCTGTTACTCTTAGTGGAGTATAGGCCGCCTACCAGCATTCTACAACCTACGCTGTCCTGGGCTTTCCTTTTCAGTTCTATTCAGCTGCTGTTTGTCTTCACCAAACAGAACATACTCTAAGTCAGTAAGTGGATCTCCTGGTGTAGTGGATACAACTCGCAGTGTGGCTTATGTGTAGTATGCAGAGGTATCACCCAGAAAACGACATGTGCGAGAAGACAGATAATAGTCAGCTTGTTTTGAAAATGAATTTTTGAAGATAAGGTGTACTAATTTTGTTAGCAAACTGTATATTCTTCAAATACACATCCGCTCTTGACATCGTCCATTTTAGTGGTCAGATGATGAAA